TAAACAAGCTATCTGCCTTCGTTTATAAAGAAAGTGATAGATATGTAAAAAGTCCAATCGACAGGATTAAAAACTCTAGTATCAGAACAATTATTCAATCTCTCTGCTAAAAAACATGGGCAGTAACTGATCCACAATAATTTTAAAAGGGACATAGATACGTATTTAATATTGCAACATTTCTTAGAAAAATATAAAGTATATATTGTACCATGTGTTAGTGAGGCCAGAATTAAGAAGATAATATAGTTGAATGTGTGCCAAAGTGCTGGTGTAGGAGGGAGAGTTTCAAATATCTGGATCACTGGTGTCTCTTCCAGCGCAGGAGGGATCTGTACAAGTGCGGGTTGAACCGAAAAAGCAGGGGCTCCAATATCCTTGCAGAGAGGTTTGCTAGTGCCGCTTGGAAGAGTTTGAACTAGTGTGACGGGCAGTGGATCAGCATGTGGAGTGGTTGAGAAGGTAGAGATTCAGTAAATCTAATGGAAAGAACAGGCAGGTTAATGAACAGGCAGGACTGGCAGTTTGAAATATACTTACTTTGTTGCCAGGAACAGGGAAGACAGACAAGCTTACAGCCTTGATTAGTAAGTGGAACTACGAAGTTGTAGCCTTTAATGAAACTTAGTTAAGGGCAGGACTGGCAGTTTAGCGTTCCAGGGTTTAGATGTTTCAGGCATGATAGGAAGGAATGTGAAAAGGTAGGGGAGTTGTATTACTGATTTTAAGGAGCATATCACAGCTGCACTAAGAACCGACATCTTGGAGGGCTCATCCATCAAGGCCATGTGGGTAGAATTTAGAAATAAGAAAGGTGCAATCACTATGATTGGGTTACTCTATAGGCCTCCCAATATCCAGCAAGAAATAGAGGAACAGATATGTAAGATCATGGAAAGATGTAAAAACAACAGGGTTTCTGCAGTTAACTTTCCAATACTGAATGGGACTCCCTTACTGCCAGGGACGTAGATCTGGCAGAACTGTTAGGTGCATCCAGAAGGGTTTCTTGAAACAAAATGTAGATAGTCTGACTGGGGAAGGGGCCATACTAGACCTTGTATTCGGGAATGAGTCTGGTCGAAAAATCAAAGTTTCAGTGGGGGAGCATTTTGGGTACAGTTATCATAATTCCATAAGTTTCATGGTAGTTATGGATAAGAATAAGACTGGTCCGCAGGTGAAAGTGCTAAATTGGGGCAGGTCTTGTCTCACAAATTTGTTTGAGTATTTTCAGGAAGTAATGAAGATGATTGACGAGGGTAGGGCAGTGGGTGTTGTCTACATGAACTTTACTGAAGCACTGACAAGGTCCCCCATGCTAGTGGTGTCTTAAGTCACATGGGATCCACGGTGAGTTGGTAAATTGGATATTAGTCATTAGAAGACAGAGGTAGTTGTGGAGGCGTGTTTTTCTGACTGGAGGCATGGGACCAGTGGTGTTCAAGGATCAGTACTGGGACCTCTGTTAATTGTAATATATGTAGGGTTGAAAATATAGGTGGTCTGATTAGGAAGTTTGTAGATGACATGAAACTTAGTGGAGTGTGGGCAGTTTGGAAAGTTGTCAAAGGATACAGCAGGATGCTGATCAGATGGAAAGTTGAGAGGACAAATGGTAAATGGAGTTTAAGCCAGCAAAGGTGATGCATTTTGAGGAGTCAAATGCAAGAGAAAAATACACAATAAATGGCAGGATCCTTAGAATCATTGATATACAGAAGGATCTTGTAGTTCCCTGAAAATTTCAACACAAATGAATAAGGTGGTAAAGAAGCATACAGGCTGCTTGTCTTCATTGGTCAGGGCACTGGATATAAAAGTTGGCAAGGCAGGTTACAGCTGTATAAAATTTTAATTAGGCCACATTTGCAGCATTGGGTGCCCACACTGTAGGAAGGATGTGGAAGCTTTGGAGAGGGTGAAGCCAGCACGTTGGCTGGATTAATATGCATTAAGCTATAAAGTGAGGTTGGGCAAATTTGTTTGTACTTGTAACCTTGGGCGGATTCGAAACATGAAGGGTGAAACTGGAGCTGAAATCCATGTGGGTTAAGTCCGAGTCATTGGCTGTCACTGAGAAAGGAAACATGGCTGTGAAACTGTGTTTTGGCAAACACATCGTCAGACACAAACTTGGATTGTTTTTGTTTGAGTGTTGGAGGCTGAGGAGTGATCTTATAGAAATATATAAAATTATGAGAGGCATGAATAGGGTGGAAATGACAAAAACTATGGGGGCGTTAAGGTGAGCGGGGAAAAGAGTTTAAGAGAGACATGCAAAGAAATTTTCCTTGTACAGAGGGTAGCGGGTGCCTGGAAAACACGGCCAGGGGAGGCGGTAGAAGCAAATACGGTAGCAATGTTTAAAAGGCATTTAGACAAACATGAACAGACAGGGAATAGAATGACACAGACCATGTACAGACAGATGGGATTAGTTTCGAATGGTATTATTTTTCTACGTTAAAGTAAATGGTTTGGCGCGGGGTGGGGGAGATTGGTGGTGCTAAAAGCAACTACAAAAATTCGGCATTATTTTTTTTTAAAAATAGTATCGTACACTTCTCCAAAACCACAGATCTACAAATGTCAAAGCACAACGTCATTCTCTGCAGGAAACCTACTAGTGAAGAAAGATGTCTGCATCCTGTTTTATCCACGTTAGCTTTCCTCGCTATGGTATTTTTACGGAGATTGCAATACATTTTCCCAAAACCGGCGGGAGGAGAGAGAAGGCAACGGCAAAAAAAAAAGAAAATAATTTAAAAATCCTGCCGTGTATCGTTCTTGCTTCAGATATGAAAATGCTGAGGCCTAGTGTTTTCCTGCTCAAGGAACCACGGGGTTGTAAACTAAATCAAATAGTTTTTTTAAAAAAAAATTCCACCCTCGGAAAATATGTCATTGAAAGTTAACATAAAGCGGGACTGGGAAATGATTGTGAACACACAATGAGGGGGACTGTCTGCCCTCAGGTATCCCCAGTTAAGTTGCTGCTCTTCATGAGGAGGGGTCACCTTGTCCAATGGAACGTTCCCCGGAGAAACCCTGGCAACCCCGGCCGGGCCTCAAGCGGGAGGTAGGGAGGGAATTCCTGCAGGACGGAAAAGTGCAAAACAAAAACACACACACACAACCAGAACCCACAGCAGAGTTCTCCGGTGGGTGGAATCAACCGAGCCTATCATGCACTTCCACCCGCTTGCAATTAAAAGCCCCTCACTTGGAGCGAGGCCGGTCGGCGTCTTCTCCGTGAATTGCACTCACCATTCTTTTGCAGATTGCAACAGCAGCGACGACGGGCTCTAGGCTACCGACCGGGAATGGAGGGGTTCGCGCTGCTGGGGTTTTGCTGCGGAACCGATGAAGGTATCGGAGAATACGGAACATGTTGAGGAGCAAGGCCGGGGAGGGACCAAGGCGGCACACTGGGAGAGGCCAGATTGTGGGGGGGGGAGGCCACCAGAGGGAGCAAAAGTACGTAGCAAATTGCAATCTGTCCAGTATTTGCTACCTGAAGTACTTAACTGGATTGAAACCTGAAGATTTGCTTCCCCACCCCATCGAAAAAAATGTAAACATGATCATGTTTTTGTTCTCAGATTCGGAACTGTTAGTTGCATGTTTGAATCCGGACTTTGTGGTTTTGCCCAATTGCATTATTAATGAAATTCTAAAGTCGACAAAGTCTCATTATTGCTACCGTGGATGGAATTAGGTTTATCCTGATTGGAGACTTGCATGAAAGGTTTTGTGAAATGACAGGTGTATTTTGTTCTGCATTGCAGTCATTACAGTTGCAAGTTATTTCTTCAAATTTAGCAAAATAAATGTTGAAACATTTGACCAATATTGGGAAGGCGAATACTGCTCTGATTACTCAATATGAGAATGTTTTGTCCAAAGTAAAATTATCCACTTCCCTCTGGTAGAATATGCCAGTTTTGACCATGTTGTTTAACCACTTGCATGGAGGAAGGAAGTATAGTTCCTTCAAGAAGGGTCACAGGATTCGAAACTTTAACTCTGCTTTCTCTCCAGATGTTCCAGACCTGCTCAGTTTCTTCAGCAATTTTTTAATAGTTTCTTTGATAATGGACATAATCTCTCATCGCCTCCCTTCTTAGAATAACACAAGACGTTAGTTGATCATACTTGTGTCTGAGAAAATATTTTGAATATGTTTGAAGAAACATCTGTTCAGAGATATTATTACGCAGGACAGTCCAACTGGAGCACCTCAACTCCTGTTTATTTCCTGTTTTCGTCTCTTTTTCCTCTCCCCTTTTTCCCCTCTTGATATTCTCTCCTGAGATAGAGCGGGCTGGTGACCCGATCGGGATGGGGACAGTTTTTGGACTGGGGCTGGTCTGGGCAGTCAACGGCTTGCGAGCCCGGGCAGACCATGTGTGGAAGACCCCTGCACTGATCTACTGAAAGACTGTAATGCTTACCTTCTTAACTTTGTTCTCATTTTTTCTAACTTATGCTATGAACAACTGTAACGTAACTTCTTTCCTTTCTTTTTCGCTTTGTTTTTGTATTTTGTATCTGAGACTTGTACCTAGGTACTTTGTAGGGGGTGACATTGTAAACTTTTACTGTACTCCTGTACTTGAGTACACATGACAATAAAGAAAATTCTATATTTTAATCCTGTCTAAAATCATGGACCAGAAAGGTTCTGCTCACTGTTTCTCCTCAGATTGTGCTTGATATGCTGAGTGTTTCAAGCATTTTCTGTTTTTATTTCCAATTACCCCTGCATCTGGAATTCGGAGGGGGACAGTCAGTAGTTGCAAAATTACTACCAGTTCTGCGGGTTTAAAGGTGAACGCTTTTGCTCGCAAATGTTTACTTAACTGAAATCACCGCGATATGAGTTTGTGTCGCTTTGGAAAAAGACAGGGGAAATATACGTTTGGCCAATGAGGTCTGGAGTTTCAGAAACGTTGATTCCATTGGAAATAGACAGAGTGGTGAAACATAGTCCCAGAGTGAGGAAAATTCAAGACGACTTTTGCAATTGAAGCAGGAGAAATCGTCTCGTCTGCAAAAATGTCATCGCGATCCGGTTCAACAACTTATGCTGGAGAGGAGACAAAGAGAGTGGCGATTGTTGGTGGTGGCTTAGTAAGGACTTTTTTTTCCTCTTTTTAAAAGAGGGAATCAAGTATCTGTTTGCACTAAATCAACGAATGTTTTCTTTCTGGCTGATTGTCGCCGCATGCGAGGGTCAAAGTGCAACTTTAATGTCAGACCTCAAATCTAGTGAATCCGAGGTTACGCTGAATCGAACAAATCATCTTTAATGTGAAATTCACATGCATAAACCTGAGAAAATTGTAGAAACGTTGCAGTCGCAATGGATTGGGTGGGGGAAATGTAGTATTATCTGAAATACGTATTTTCTCTTTTTTTTCCATGTTTCCACTATGAATTTCCCAAACTCGATTTTAACAGACAGTGCTATGTATTAAGTCAGTTTACTCGTCTTTGACCCTTATCCCTCAATACCCTTACCACTGAAACTATTAAAGTTTCGACGATGTCATCTACTATTGATCCATAGACCACCATTTGAAAGTGAATTCCAGTTTTTCACTACCTTGCGTGCACAAGTTATACAGCACGAACACAGACCAGTCCATTCACCCATAATCCCACTGATTTCATATCAAATTGGATAAACTCTTTAAGATTACGCTGAGTCTTGCATGACAAATGTCTAGAAATTGTTCCAACCAAAAGCCGTACAATTTTGCTTATCCAGTTCTTGTATAATAAAGCAAAATCAGACGGTGCATTTTAAAGATTTTTTTCACCAAGGCTACTTAGATAGCATCTTCCAATCCCATGACCACTACAATCGAGCAACACAAATGTACCAAATAGATACGGAGCACCAACTACTGCAATTTCCCCTCCAAGCCTCTCCCAGTTCATCCAGACATTCAAAATATATCGGTACGTTCAGTGTCACCTGGTTAAAATCCTAAAACTCCTTCTGATGGCGTTGTGCGACTACCTATTCTAGATGGACTGCAGTGGTTCAAGAAGGCAGCTCACCACCACCACCTTCTCAAGGGCAGTTAGGGATTGCCAATAGACGCTGGCCCACACTCCATGAATGAATTTTAAAAAACTGTTTTCAATTTTAATTTTGTAGTTTTATCAATTTATTTAATTTGCTCAATCTCTGACTTTGCTGCAACTGTTATTTTGAGGTTTACATTGCGTATCATTCATCGCAGCAATTAATTTGTCTGAATATTGCTGTAATTAAACAGACCTTAGTTTAAATGAAAGTGTGCTGTGTTCACTGATCTTGTCATAAAAATAATTATCTATAAACGTTTGGGGTAGCTATATACTGCATTAATTAGGACAATATGAACAAATGCACCTGTCTCTCAGGCAAGCTAATAATTGATTGTAGCAGGATCAACAGTTGCATCAGATATTGAGATCTGTAATCTACATGAATAGGAATAATTAACCAATTAACCTGAGCATGGATGGAGACTGGCTAACTAATAGAAGGCAGCGAGTTGGGATAAATAGGAAATTTTCAGGATGGCAGCCTGTAACTGTGGAAACAAACGTAGAACCATTAAAACAGTAGCTTGGCTCGCTATTAAAATAACCTCAAAATTCAATGCTCCACTTGGCAATAGAACATTGTCTTTGGATATCCAAGTCATTAAGGCATATTGTAAATAATTATGGGCCTGGCACTGGATCCTTATGACACTCCTCTCGTTACAGGTTGCCATTTTGAAAATGTCCCCTTACCCCAAATCTTTATTTTTATTAGTTAGACAATTCTTCATCCATGCTAATATTCTACAATCAAAACCATAGACTCTTATATTGTTAAGTAGCCTTATGTGTGGCACCTTTATTGAATGCCATTTTGAAAGCCAAATATATTACATCTACTGATTTCTCCTTAATTTGTTGTGCTTATCACCTCCTCAAAGAACGCTAATAAAATTGTCAGGCATGGTTTCCTCTTCATGAAACCGTGCTGACTCTGCTCGATTTTATGTTAAGTGTTTCTAAGTACCTTAGCAGTACATCCTTTATAGTAGGGGCTCTAGCATTTCTCCAATGTCTAATGGTAACTGACCTGTAGTTACCTTTTTTGCCTCTCTATTTGAATAGGGAGTGTCTCATTGGCCGACTTTCAATACTGTGGGAATTTTCCAGAATCTAATAATTATTGGAAGATTACAACAAGTGCATCCATTATTTTGGTAGTTACTTCCTTTAAAATCCCAGGATGTAAACCATCATGTCCAGGAGACGTTTCAGCTTTTAGCCCCATTAGCTTCCCAATTACTGTTTCTCTAGTGATACTAATTGCATTTGTTTGTTCCATGCCTCTCCCCGACCTTTAGCGTCTTGATTGTTTTGTATGTTTGGAATGCCAATAGATTCCTACATAATGAAGAATGATGCAATATGTTTATTAAGCTTCTCTGCCAATTCCAGCTTTCTCATTATTATTTTCCTTGCCTCATTCTCTAAGAGGCCTGTGCTCACTTTGGTCTCTCTTTATACATTTAAAGAAGCTAATACAGTCTGTTTTTATATCATGTGCTAGTTTGCCCTCATAGTTTATTTTCTTCATCCCTTTCGTTTTCGAAATGTTTTGGGTTTTAAAACTTTTCCAATCCTCTTGCTTACCACTTATCTTTGACACATTATATCTCCTTTCTTTCAGTTTAATGCTATGCTTGACTTCCTTTGTTAAGTATGGTTGGATTATCCCCTTCCTAGAATCCTTCTTCCTCATTGGGATTTATAGTGTTGTGAATAATGAGCTACTTTCTGTGTGATTCATCAACTATTTTTTTCTGTTAAACTCCTTGGCCAGTTCACTCCAGCCCACTCTGCCCTTTATCTGTATGTATTTATCCTTAAGTTGATTCTGACCCAAGTTTCTTACTCCAAAATTGAATAATGAATTCTGCGATATTATTTCAGAGATAGTAGGAACTGCAGATGCTGGAGAATCTGAGATAACAAGGTGTAGAGCTGGATGAACACAGCAGGCCAAGCAGCATCAGAGGAGCAGGAAGGCTGATGTTTCGGGCCTAGACCCTTCTTCAGAAATGGGGGAGGGGAAGGGGGTTCTGAAATAAATAGGGAGAAAGGGGGAGGCAGATAGAAGATGGACAAAGGAGAAGATAGGTGGAGAGGAGACAGACAGGTCAAAGAGGCGGGGATGGAGCCAGTAGAGGTGAGTGTAGGTGGGGAGATAGGGAGGAGATAGGTCAGTCCAGGGAGGACGGACAGGTCAAGGGGGCGGGATGAGGTTAGTAGGTAGGAGATGGAGGTGGGGCTTGGGGTGGGAGGAAGGACAGGTTAGGGAGGTGGGGGCGAGCTGGGCTGGTTTTGGGATGCGGTCCACCCACAGCCTTCAACCTCATCGTTCCCCAACCCTGCACCGCCCGTTTCTATCTCCTTCCCAAAATCCACAAACCTGACTACCCTAGTTGACCCATTGTCTCCGCCTGCTCCTGCCCCACCGAACTTATCTGCACCTATCTCGACTCCATTTTCTCCCCCTTGGTCCAGGAACTCCCTACCTACGCCCGTGACACCAACCACGCCCTCCACCTCCTCCAGAACTTCCAATTCCCTGGTCCACAACACGTCCAGTCCCTATACACCTGCATTCCCCAGACAGATGGCCTAAAGGCCCTCCGCTTCTTCCTGTCCTGCAGACCCAACCAGTCCCCCTCCACTGACACCCTCATCCGCTTAGCCAAACTCGTCCTCACCCTCAACAACTTCTCTTTCAATTCCTCCCACTCCCTACAGACAAAGGGGGTGGCCATGGGTACCCGCATGGGCCCAAGCTATGCCTGCCTCTTTGTAGGTTACATGGAACAATCCCTCTTCCGTACCTACACTGGCCCTAAACCCCACCTCTTCCTCCGTTACATTGATGACTGTATCGGCGCTGCCTCGTGTTCCCACGAGGAGCTCGAACAGTTCATCCACTTCACCAACACCTTCCACTCCAACCTTAAGTTCACCTGGACCATCTCCAATACCTCTCTGTCCTTCCTGGACCTCTCTGTCTCCATCTCTGGCAACCACCTAGAAACCAATATCCATTTCAAGCCCACCAACCCCCACAGCTACCTAGAATACACCTCCTCCCACCCACCTTCCTGCAAAAATGCCATCCCCTATTCCCAATTCCTTCGCCTCCGCTGCATCTGCTCCCAGGATGAGGCATTCCACTCCCGTACATCTCAGATGTCCTCATTTTTCAAGGACCGCAACCTCCCCCCCTCAGTGGCCGAGAACGCCCTTGACCGTGTCTCCCGCATTTCCCGCAACTCATCCCTCACACCCCCTCCCCGCAATAACAATCAAAACAGAATCCCCCTCATCCTCACGTACCACCCCACCAACCTCCGGATCCAACGCATCATCCTCCGACACTTCCGCCATCTGCAATCTGACCCCACCACCAAAGACATTTTTCCCTCCCCACCCTTATCTGCTTTCCAGAGGGACCACTCTCTCCAGGACTCCATTGTCTGCTCCACACTCCCCTCCAGCCCCACCACACCCGGCACTTTTCCCTGCAACCACAGGAAGTGCTACACCTGCCCCTACACCTCCCCCCTCACCCCCATCCCAGGCCCCAAGAAGACTTTCCACATCAAGCAGATGTTCACCTGCACATCTGCTAATGTGGTATACTGCATCCGCTGTTCCCGTTGTGGCCTCCTCTACATCGGGGAAACCAAGCGGAGGCTTGGGGACCGCTTTGCAGAACACCTACGCTCGGTTCGCACTAGACAACTGCACCGCCCAGTCGCGAACCATTTCAACTCCCCCTCCCATTCCTCAGACGACATGTCCATCCTGGGCCTCCTGCAGTGCCACAATGATGCTACCCGAAGGTTGCAGGAACAGCAACTCGTATTCTGCTTGGGAACCCTGCAGCCCAATGGTATCAATGTGGACTTCACAAGCTTCAAAATCTCCCCTCCCCCTACCGCATCCCAAAACCAGCCCAGCTCGTCCCCGCCTCCCTAACCTGCCCTTCCTCCCAGCTATCTCCTCTTCCCACCCCAAGCCACACCCCCATCTCCTACCTACTAACCTCATCCTGCCCCCTTGACCTGTCCGTCCTCCCCGGACTGACCTATCTCCTCCCTACCTCCCCACCTACACTCACCTTTACTGGCTCCATCCCCGCCTCTTTGACCTGTCTGTCTCCTCTCCATCTATCTTCTCCTCTACCCATCTTCTGTCCGCCTCCCCCTCTCTCCCTATTTATTTCAGAATCCCCTTCCCCTCCCCCATTTCTGAAGAAGGGTCTAGGCCCGAAACGTCAGCCTTCCTGCTCCTCTGATGCTGCTTGGCCTGCTGTGTTCATCCAGCTCTACACTTTGTTTTCTACGATATTACGGTCACTATTCCCTGGAGGATTTTTACTCTGAGACTGTGTCTTGATTTTGCATTTCTAGATCCAAAATAGATTGTTCTCTGGTTATCTACAACATTTTTGTTTCCGGAAGTTGTCCCAAATGCACTCTGAATTCTTCCTCATGGTTTCCTTTGCCAATTTGATTTTCTGAATCTATATGATGATTAAAGTCACTCATGATTAATGTGCTGCCTTTTTTTTTAACAAGCCTTATTATTTCCTGAAGCTTCTTTTAGAGAGCCAATAGATTATTCCCACCAGTGTTGTCTTCCCCTTATTATTCTTTTCTCCACCCATATGGATTCTACATTTTCTAATGAAAGATCATTTCTTTCCACCATACTTATTCTATCTCATTCTAAAAAAAGCTACTCCACCACCCATCTCTCCTGCTTGTACTTTTGAAAAATCACATACCACTGAATATGTAGTTTCTGGCTTTGATCTCCTTGTAACCATGTCTCTGTAATGGCTATAAGATCATATTCAACAACCTCTATTTGTACCATTAATTTTGTGCTTTGTTCCAAATACTATGCTCATTAACTAAAGATCCATTAATTTTGCCGTTTTACAATTTTTTTCTCCCTTTGACCCTATTTACTGCTACTGTATTTTTATGTTTTTATACTCTATCCCTTCTGGTTCACTTGGGTATCGTTATCAAAATAATTGCCCTACAATGCTGCCACATCCTTTAGCTTTTAAAGCCTCTGTATCTCCTTGTCCAAGACTTTCTCCCTTCTAGTTAACTTGAAGACTTCTCTACAGCCCGTGTAATTTGATTCACCAGAACACTGATCTTAGAATGGTTCAAATCAAATCCTGTCCAACTGCAGCAACTTCCTGCTACCTGAGTAATAGTGATGGTTCTCCATGAACTGAAACCCATTCCTCCCACATCAATCTTTGAGATGCCCATTTCACCTGCCTTTATTTACCCTGTGCCAGTTTTCCTGCAGCCTAGGTAGTAATCGTTAGATTATTACTTTGGGTGTTCTGCCTATCAATTTAGCTCCTAACTGTTCAAGATCTTTCAGCAGAACATCCTTTCCATTCCTATCAATACTGTTAATACCATCATGGATGATGACAACTTTGATCCCTCCCCTCCCACTTCACATTCTTCTTCAGCCCCAAGGAGGTATCCTTAATCTTGGCATTAGCAGACAACACAGCCCTCGGGACTCAAACTCACAGTTAGAAAAACAGTATCTACTGTCTGAATAATACTGTCCCCTACCATTACTACGTTCCTATTTCTTCCCACATTTGAATGACTCCTTGTTTCATGGTGTTGTGGTCAGTTCACTTATCTTCCCTGAAGTCCCAGATGTTGTTCACATGGCTTACAAGAGTCTTGTAACTGTTGGACAATAACAGGGACAGAGGACATTCAAGCTCCTCCCTTTGGGTCACCATACCAGCCTCACTTGCAATTATAGCTTTTATCTTTGATCGCAGAGCAAGTTTGAATTGCCTAATCTAAATGTGTGACCACCTCCTGGAGCCAATTGTCCAGGTAACTTTCCCCTCTTTGATGCACTGCAATGTCTGCAGTTTGGACTCCATTTCCTCAACTTGAATTTGAAGTTACTTGAATGGAAAATACTTGCTACAGATGTGTTTGCAGTGGATCTCCTTGGTTTCCAGAAGATCCCACATTCCAGTTTTAATCAGGCTGCTCTTTCAGTGTACCTCCTTGAAATTAACTCATCTGCAACTTCACAACTACAGAATTTTGAAATGAGGACTTTATTTAACTTTCAACTCCTAACTCCAATCTAAATTAGATTAAATTAGGTTTGAACAGATTCAAGATTTAGACACTTTTATATCCAGCAAACACAAACACTAAAATTGAGGTAGAACTGAAACAAATGCAAAATGCTGGAGAAATTATTTTCAACCTTCTTCAGTTCTGAAGAAACTTTCCAAACCCGTTGAGTTTCTCCTGCATTTTCTCTGTTCGTTTCAGATTTTCAGCATCTGCAGTATTCTGCCTTTATTACAAGACTGAATTGAGTTGGCCAGCTGATTTTATTATTGCAGAAGATCAACGTTTTGTTCTTTTCCTCTAGGTTGGTGCTTTAAATGCGTGCTTCTTCGCAAAGCGAGGTTTTCAAGTGGAACTTTATGAAGCACGCAAAGGTGGGATTCACTTAATTTATTTTTGCCTTTTGACATTGTCAAATGAACATATCTCCAAATTGTAATGTAGGCTGTAGATGTACTGAAGAAAATCTGTGAAGTTCACAACTACTAAACTCAATTTAAATACCTAAGTTTATTAAGACCTTCTGTAAACTACAATTCCTGTCTGTACTGATTTCTGTGTTATAATTTTGAATCACATTATTTGTATCAAGATTTAACATCTAATGTTGGAAAATATTATCCAGAATTGTACACGCTTCATTTGCCATCATGTGTTGAGCAACCAAACAAATCATTGAAATTGATTTTTGAAAACATTTTCTCAAATTCTGAAATTTCAAGTGTCCAGAAGGAAATTTTTAATCATGAAGTAGAATAATTGTATACATTAACGGAATTGGCTTTTATTATGTTTATTCACATTTCTACTTCAAGGCCTTGGTCTCTTATAAGTGTGTATTCTAACAGGTACATTTCACTAAATTTCCCTGCAGGCAATCCTCCCAGCAGCAGGTATAAAACACCTTATGAAAGATGACCTCCCTTTCCACATCCTCACATTGCTGCTAAAAATGTTACAATGTTCCAACATTCCAGCACTGAACCCAAATCCCCTTCATCGTACTTTCAGGATAACCCAAAATGCCAATAAATTAGCTTTCTCCATAACCCTGCTCAGCTTAACCATGGTCAGAAATCATACGATACCAGGTTATAGTCCAACAATGTCATGTGATTTCTGATCTTGTCCACCCCAGCCCACATCGTAATTTAACCATGTTTGTAAATTTCAGACTCATTGTGAGCAAAGCCGTTATGAACTGTTAGCACTTCAATTATTTCATAAAATATCATTGTGAATGTTGTTTTGTAGTTGTTTAAAGTCTCCATTCCCCTGGAAGTAGTGGGGAGAGATTGAACTCTTTTCAGTCAGTAGAAATTGAGCAGCAGCAACTTTGGTGGAGTTGAAGTGAGCCCAACATATCCAGGTCCTTCCTAGCTCCAGTGCCATATTAAACTGGTCTTCTGCAGGATGGCTTCATTTTCTAATCTATGCAAATAAGGGTTCTATTGATATAATGAGGACTCCACCTCAATCTAGGGGGCCTGCAGGATGGAGTGTGACACTCTATTGAGTAAAACCTGTTTGTCAAGAATTTAAGGCTCCAGGGGTTCTTGTGTAACCTGCAAGCAGCATAAGTTTTATCTCCTAGCTTCACAAGAACAATATGGAATTCTGCTGCCTTGTATTATCTAATGCTGTGACCACCATTTCTGTTCCTGCTGTTTTCAAGCTTGAGTTGGTCATGAAATGAAATTCAGCAGGATACCTGTTTGAGGCATGCAGCTAGCAGATGGCATAACATTCCAGCTTGACCCCTGAAATGGACAAGCTCATGCCCTAAGGATTGGGTGACACTTGGTGTGCTCCACCTACCTGATTATTAAAATTGTCCCAAGCGAGTTATTGTGTATACTTGCAGTGATCACATTCGCACATTTGCGTGTGCTGTATACATGTTCAGGGAACTGTTTGCTCAGCTGGAACTCAGCTAGCTTGTGGATCAGATTTATGTCAACAGCACAGGGTTCAGTCCCCCTTTTGGTTGAGTGGGAACCCAGGGCCTGCTTTCTTGCTGTATCCATACTAAAATAAAACATGGCACTCTGCCATCTTTCAACAAGTAATCAACAAAAACCTGTCTTCAGGTAGAGAATGCAACAAGAAGCAGGACCTATGTCTTTAATGAAAAATTTCTTCACTTTCCCTATCTGGTATCAAAAAAAGTGGTGAACAACAGGCCCATATAATCAATGCAATTTAGGAAGATGCCATTCAGTCTATTAAGCTCGTGCCAGTTCTCTGTAGAGTAATCCAGTCCAATAACCTGTTCTTGCTTATAGCTGTTCAATGGCCCACCCAATTTCCTTTTATTCATTCACCCTTTCAGCTTCTCCTGACTGAGAATTCCAAGTCATTAGCACTCGAAGGATGGAAATCCCAGCTTTTCGAACATAACTTTGTATCTGAATTTCGTCATCCTCGCATAACCTTCTCTGAAAACTATGTTTTTTTTGTATGTCAGGAACCACCAGGCACACAATTACAGCACAAAGTGTAAGTGATTGCAGCAGTTATGTGTCCCACATGTAGCAGTGGCAAGCAAGAAGTGTCTGTACCTGCTGGCAGATGACTTAACTCCATTTTGGGATGGGTTTTAAAATGTCACTCCTTGCATGCATCCAGGCAGGAAGAACTGGTGCCAGTTGGGAGAAGTGTTCTTTGATCCATCATTAAAATTTTTCAGTGCATCACAGCCTCCAACCTTCAAAGCCCCCACCCATCAGTTGACTCCCATTGTTCTCTGCTTTCATCCATCAATCTATGTTTCTGGACCTTTCCTTGCTGCACCCTCTCTGGAAATGTAATGCGATCTTCAAGTCTTCACGGTGGACCAAACATCAAGCTCCTTCCCCACACAATTGTGTCCTTCCACTGGGACCTGGGCTGTCTCCAGCTGTAAGTTAGTTAGCAGGACTGGCCAGCATCTCAGTCAAAACCATTCTCCATGATTCTGCATATTCTCACTGCTACCTTTGAGTTTTAGCCCAACACCCTTGATCCTGTAACTATCGCTGTGTACTCTGCCTCATCAACCCCGTGGCATTGACAATGGACATCGCTTCTTCCTTAACATTCCTCCTCCAACATAAACAGAAGTTGCTGGAAAAGCTCAGCGGATCTGGCAGCATCTGTGGAGAGAAATCAGAGTTAACGTTTTGGGTCGCGTGACCCTCCCTCAGAACACCCCAAAATGTTGACTCTGCTTTCTCTCCACAGATGCTGCCAGAGCTGTTGAGGTTCTCCAGTGATTTCTGTTTTGAGATAACGGGGTATGAGTGGGTCCTAACATGATATGAGTTGTTTTGAGCACAGCCAGCTTCCATTTTCACCCACTCATTGCCTCCATTATCATCGATCTAGCTTTTTCCTCTCCCCGATTTACTATTAATGATCTCTTTGACCGTCTTTTTCTTAGTTTCACTCCATTTTCTCCTCTATCCCTTGTCATCAAGATAAATACCAATTTTTCCCAGATGCTACCACTTCTGAAGACAGGCCACTGGACTCAAAACATTAACTCTGTTTTCTCTATAGAGATGCTGTTAGACCTACTGAGTTTCTCCAGCAATATCTGTTTTTGTTTCAGGTCTTACTTGCTGTTTTCCTTAAAGTCACTTTTCTCCCCTTCCTGGCCTGACCTCATCAGCTCCCCTTTCTCAAAACCCTCTTGCTCCCATTACCCCTCCATCCAAATGGTCATTCTCCTGCTTCTCTTCCGGTGCCACAGAATTCAACAAAGACTACTGCTTACCTCAGACCCAGATGGACAAACTCATCTTATGCACAACATCTTTAGATGAGTTTGAAAATGGTACCATCAGTTTCTGAGCACCACTTGCCTAATCCTGAATATAAGAACTAGTTTGAAAAGGTTTTAATGTAAAACATTCATGAAATAGCAAAGCATTGAAATAGGAACCTGCCCTTGGAAGGCTTGAGGCCCAACTTACCACTAAAGCATGACTAACTTAAACTCTGTGACTTAACCTGTCATCAAAAAGCTGAAATTTCACGTCCCATCTAATTAATTCTCCCCACCCATTATGTTTGTTGTTTCTGGAAGCTGCATTAAATTCCACCCATTGATCCAAAAGTGTGGTGACCCCAGAACTAAGTACAGAATTCTTAAAGTACTGGTTATGCTACAATTATAAAGATTCAGCATAATGTCCTTACTTTTATTCAACACCTCGATGCCCAAAATTTCCATTCTTTGCTAATCTTCACTTTATCTTGACCTATGCACGAGAACCATAATGACACTTCTCTCTCTCTCTCCCCCCCACAAACCCTCTCCATACTGTGTGCCATTAAATCTATATTGCCTCTTCTTATCCCTTCTGCTAAAATACATCAACTCGGTATAAATTCCATCTGTCATGTGTCAATATTTTCAATTGCCCTATTCAGACATATTATGACATACCTCTGGAGCAGGTGGGACTTGAACCTAAGACTTCTGCCCAAGAGGTATGTACATTACCACTATGTCCCAAAAACTCTCTAATCTGCCACTTGCGTTTCCATACCCAAATCTGTGTCTTGTTGCAGCCAATTTGTATTATCCTCACTGTCTGACACATCTTTGTATAGCTGACGAGTTTTGATGACTGTTTTAAGATTGACTTGATGTATGACTTTGTACCATTGGCAAATATAAGAAAGATTCAAATCTAGTTACATATTGAATGACCTAGGGTAGTGATGGCGATATTACAAATGGGATCAACATCCCCCTGAGTAAAGTTGAAAAGAAAAGTAGCCTTGATTTCTGATCACTTCACATGATTTCTTGCTAGAAAGTATATATCTCTACATCAGATCAGGATGAAGTTAGGTTCGCCAGAAATATTGTCACAAGAGAATAAGCTGAGCATGTGCTCAATGTCTGAGTTCAAAGATGAAAATTGACCATGTGAAGTAATGGAGGAATATCAGGGCTCATGCAAACAAAAAATGGCAGGAGTAATCTTTTTTTTCAAACAGGAATAGTGAAATAAAACCCCAATTGCTACTATTAAGCTCACTGAAATTCATAGAATCATGCATCACAGAAAGAGTCTGATTGGCCATTGTATCTGAGCTGGTTTTATTGTTTCCCTGTTCTTTGTCCATTTCATTCCATGAATGCTGTGCCTGAAGGTAGGTCTTGGACTCAACATCTGCTGATGCTTCATTCTGACCTGTTTCTCAGTGGTTGTTTGCCATTGCCTTCCACTCACAGGTGTAGGAGCTTTGTACGTAGGCCTGGAAAATTTGTTTTTTTTCCCAAAGTGTGCATCCAATTCTCATTTAAAAGTAATTACTGAATCTGCTAATGCATCCTTTCAAGTAGCACAGTCCAGATTATTACTTAATGCTCATACACTTCTGGTTGAATGTAGCTAATAGAAACTGAAATGTTTAAGGATTGATTGCATCAAAACAAATTTAACATTTCCTGCTTGACAGATATTCGAATTGCTAAAGATGCAAGGGGAAGAAGCATCAACCTTGCTTTATCTTACAGAGGGAGGCAGGCTCTAAAAGCCATTGGCATGGAAGACCAGGTATGGAAAATCTATCAGTTTTCCAATAAAATCAAACAAAATCTGATTCAATTTTTTTTTGCCAAATCAAAATTGAACTGGTACATTTTTGCAGTTTCTGTACTATCTCATGCTGCATGAATTCCAAGAGCTGGATTTTACAGGCCATTCATTCACTGGTGGGATTGCAGAGGGTGGACCTGTAAAATAGATAATATGCTGTGCAAGCCTGCTAGACTATAGGATCGATACTGCAGATGTTGGGTGCATTTGAGGCCCTTAAATGTTCAATTATTGCCCAGATAAACAGCTCAATTCACTAACATTTAGGGTGGCAGGAGATGCCTGTGCTCAGTATTCATCGGGACTGGTTCTGTCTGCAGGTTGTTAGCTCGAGTGCTCGTGTTCCCTATCCAAATGTCTCCCCAAATCCCAGTTTCCCAAATTCCATTTGATGTATTCACCTGGGATTGCCTGTGATTCCTGGAGGTCTAGTTCCATTGCTGATCAGCCCTTCATAACTACAAAACTGGAAATGGTCACTGCATCTGGTGGCTCTGTTGGGATTACATGACGGACAACATTCAAATGGCTAGCAGCTGTGGACAGCTCCACAAGCTGTCATTTTCTCAAGAGAGCTGCAGAGGTCTTGCCACGTCATGGTAAAGTTCTGTCAGCCAAAAAATTAAAATGGAGCAAACAGAGGCAGGCTTGTCCATGACATTTAAACTCGGATATGGGGAGCACAGATGCAGTGAATAATTCAGCTCCATATTGGGAATTAAAGTAAAACAATCAACTGTACTGTTTGAATTGATGATATTCAGAATCCAGGAGAAGTTTTACAGGAAATATTAACTTTTCTTAAAGAATAAAGAGGAATGTCACCTTGTTTTAATATGAAAGGGAAGAAACTACATCTGAAATGCTCAAAAATGCGTTAATATAAATTTTATGCATTATTGCATAATAGAAAGATAAAAAGTTAACATTTTAAAAATGAACGGGTGTTTTTTGAGAATTTAAGGCCAAGGAGCTTCTCTCTGTCCACATCGTATCACTAGGTTATAGTCTTCAATTGAACCTGTTGGCCAAAAATCTGGTGTTGTGTGATTTTTGACCTTCTCCTTATTTGAGCCTTTGATGTAAATTGTAAAAGGTTGAGACCTGAGTTTATATTCCTGTCGATCGGGAAAAGACCAATTTATGCAGGCTTTGTTTTCTGCCAGCCAGCCAGTCAATATTCTATCTATACTGAGTGCTTAATTCCCAAAATAACCTTTACTGTCAGGGGTGGCATGGTGGCTCACAGCGCCAGGGACCTGGGTTCGATTCCAGCCTTGGGCAACTGTCTGTGTGGAGTTATCCATTCTCCCTGTGTCTGTGTGGGTTTCCTCTGGGTGCTCTGGTTTCCTTCTACAGTCCAAAAATGTGCAGGCAAGGTGGATTGGCTATGGGAAATTGTCCATAGTGTTCAGGGATGTGTAGATTAGGGGGATGGGTCTGGGTGGGATGCTCTGAGTGTCAGTGTGGAATTGGTGGGCCAAAGGGCCTGTTTCCACACTGGGGATTCTATGATCTATGAACATATGAAATGCCTCCCAAAAATCCAAGTTTGATACAACTGCAGGCAGATCTTTATGCACAACACATGTTACTTCTGCAACGAACTCTGATAAATTCTTTAAGCATGATTACCCTTTTACAAAATCATGCAGACCCTTCCCAATTACTTTAAGTTAAGTCCCAGTTATAATCTGTTTAATGGTGGATTCTAATACTTTCACCATGACAAACTAACAGAACTACAGTTTCCCTGTTTTCTGCTTAGCTCCCTTCATGAATAGAGAGTTTATATTTGCTACTTTCTAGTCCAGGGGCAAGTTTATTACCTATGACTCCGAGAAAAATAATGGCAGTGTCAAGCAAATACACACACTTTTAAAAGGGGATAGTGTCCTGAATAGACAAGCTAGTTATTTGTGTGTTTTTGAGGCATAAAGATTTAAGATGGAATCATATTTGGCTAGCTGATTTCTAGGACTGTCAGCAGTAGAGAATATCATGGTTATCTTTTAAGTTCTTAGTCTTCTCATTTTTGTTTTCAGTCAGCATCATTGCTGGGCTTGTCTTCACGTGTTTGTATTGAGAGGGAGACTATTTTAGAGCTGTAGTCAAAAATCCATCTCTAATTTTTCAAAAAAAGCTCCTTGAAATAGTAACTGGTTGTATATTCCATCTGCTGATGATTTTGTTTTTCAGGCTTGATAATTGTAGGTGATCATTGTCATCTTGAACATTTGAAGATTTTCATTATGGTACTAATCAGAGAGAGGAACCTTTTTTATATCTCCTGGGATGATGATTGAGAAAGGGGCTAGTCATGAAACTTGGTCAATTTCTGTGGTGAGGTGATGTCAGTCTGTGATTTTAAGTCTGTGCATTTTGGTCCCTTTTTAAAAGCTTTTTGGTCAGTGAAATGCACAATATTAGACCAGACAAATGGAATTCAAGACCAATCAGCCACATTTTATATCGTCTTACCAAAATTTCAATCACATAACTACTAGCATAACTTAATTGGAACACATATCCATCGGAAATGTTAGGATTTTTAAAAGGTGTCAATGATATTTTACTGGTAAATTTAACAAAATGTTGCACTAAGCTTAAGTGATAGTGTTCAGGAAGAACAACGTTTGCAATGTTGTTGTTTGTCGCCTGAGAAATCTTAGAATTCCAAATTCTTAAAGATGTAATTCTTCAACACTTGTCTTTTTAGATAGTGTCTAAGGGCATTCCCATGAATGGGCGAATGATTCACTCCTTGTCAGGCAGCAAGTCATCTATTTCTTATGGAACAAAAGACCAGGTAACATTTATATATAAAAAGGCTTCACAACATCGTAGCACAGCATGTATTACAAAGAATGTTTTGAATGAATGAAATTTCTTTTGTCTCTGCGAAGAAGTGGCATGATATTTGATTTTCTTTTATTCACTCATGGGACATGGGCTTCACTGACTAGGCCAGCGTTTATTACCTGTCCCTGGTTGCCCTTGCAATGATGTTGGTAAGCTGCCTTCGTGAACCGCTGCAGTCCATGGGCTATAGGTAGACCCTCAATGTCATTAGGAAGGGAATTCCAGGATTTTAATCCAACCACACTGATGAAACGGCAATATATTTCTAGGTCAGGATAGTGAGTGACTTGGAGGGAATCCTGAAGGTGGTCATGTTCCCATATCTGCTGCCGTTGGACTTCTAGGTGGAAGGTGCTGTTGAAGGATCAGTGGTGAATTTCTGCAGTGCATCCTGTAAATGGTACATGCTGCTGCTACTGAGTGTTTGTGGTAAAGGGATTGGATGTTTGTGGATGTGATGCCAATCAAACAGACTGCTTTGTCATGGATCATGTCAAGTTTCTTGAGTGTTGTTGGAGCTACACCTGTCCAAGAAAGTGGAAAGTATTCCATCGCAGTCCTGACTTGTGCATTGTAAATGGTGGACAGGCTTTGGGAGTCAGAAATTGAGCTACCATTGCAGTATTCTTCACCCATGACTTGCTGTTACAGCCAATGTATTTATGTAGCTTGTCTAGGTCAATGTCTTGTCAATGGTAACGCCTATGAGGTTAATAGTGGGGGATAGTGACAGTAAGGCCTTTGAAGGTGAGGGATGATGGTTTAGTCAAATGACTTTTGTATGGCCTGCAGAAGAGCTAATTACCTACACTTACTCAGGAAGTCCTTGAAGGCGATGAGCTGCCAGACTCCTTCATCTTTATAGGGTAAAATATGAATTAGAGAAAAATGAATCACAAATTCCCATCATACATTTCCCAAAAGGGAGATGTGGGGCAAAAAGCAATTGGACAAAGTTTGAGCACTTGAATCTGAAACCTTTTATTCATAGTTCACTTGCATAGGATATAACTATGTGCCTGGATAGTAATTGGTAATCTAAAGTTCCAGATCTTGATACTACATGGGGTTACTACAACAGTGCATAAGGAACAAGATATGCAAAATAAAGTGGACTGCTCTGGTGTACAATCTTTCCCATCCAGTTGTTTTCTATGTGTTTTTGTTAATTTTTAATCTTGCTTCCCTAAATTTTAAATTGCTGCATTGGGCAAGCCTTTGCAAAACTAATCTTGCTAAAAGCAATCATGTGTTTTGTCAAGCAAGACAGGTCACTGTTTTAAAATAACAATATTCCTATTGTCAGTACATAAAGGAACATATTTAATCGTGTATCTTTGCCCTTCAGTATATCTTGTCAGTGGATAGAGCAAATTTAAACCGAACGTTATTATTTGGTGAGTAAATGCTGGACATGTTATTCTAAAATTGTTTTGTCTCATTTCTTCTCTGTAATTTCTTTTCTGAAATTTGCTTAATCTGTTTGCATTTGTAGCTGCTAATCAATACCCAAATGTCAAGTTAAACTTTGAAACTAAATTGCAACACTGCAGTGCTGATAAGGGGATCCTGACATTTATCAGGTAATCTTTCTGTAGATTGCCACCATTTTGTGAAAGTCATATCTAAACTCTATTTGGACCACAGCGTTAAGTAATGGGAGCAATGCAGATTGTAATACCATAAAGCATCACTGTTGAAGGTTGAAGCAACATATTAAAATAGATTGATGTTCTGAGAGATTCTGGCTTTTGAACCTCAATTTAGCATAATCTAAGGAGCTGCTTTTTAATCACTGATGCGTTTGAGCAAAGGTGTCTGTCTTGTATGCGCTGCCATGCTTGTATGTGTATCTTGTTACTTGTACAAAATCTTAAAATTTATAATTGCATCTGAAATTATAGCCTATTTATGGCAGGACCAGATCATTAAATCAGAATAAGTACTTCTTTATAGGCAGTTCTGATGTGTCTTCTGTCTTGTCCTTCTCAGCAGTAGAGGTCATGGGAATGCGCTAGCAAAGGAGACTCTTTTCATTAGCTGCAGCACATCTTGTTGATGATACACATTGCCACCATTACTTTGGTGGTGGAGAAAGGAAATTTTTATGATGAATGATAGTGTGCCAATCAAGCGGACTGTTTTGGCCAGGATAGTGTCGTTCTTGAGTGTTTGTTAAGAGCTGCGTTCATCCAGGCAAATGGGAAGTATTCCATCGTACTTATAATTTATGATTTGTGAACAAGCACTGGGGAGTCAGGAGTAGAGTTATTTGCTGAGCTTCTAGTTTAATACAAAGTTAACCAGTCTCTCACCAGGACTGGTAAAGTATAAGTAGTTTTTAAAAACATAAGAACTGCGGATGCTGTAAATCAGGAATGGAAACAAAGTTGCTGGAAAAGCTCAGCAGGTCTGGAAGCATCTGTGAAGGAAAAAAACACAGTTAACATTTGGGTCCGGTGACCTTTTCTCACTTCTGAGGAAGGGTACCGGACCCGAAACGTTAACTCTGTTTTTTGCTTCACAGATGCTGCCAGACCTGCTGAGCTGTTTCCAGCAACTTTGTTTTCGTATAAGTAGTTTCTGTTTATTGAAGATAATTTACATGATTGCACAGCAGACTGAATCCTCATAAAGGTACAACTGCAACTTCCTCACTTTGCACGCCACAAGCTAGGCTAGCAATTGCTGCTGGTCACGTCTTCTACATTGAGGCTACTTGCTCATTAGAACATTCCCTCTTAAAGTGATATCATATACTACTAGCCTCAGAATTCCCAGCCTCTGGCCTGCTCTTTTAATCACAGTATTCGTATGATTCATCCAGTTTGGTTTCAGGTCAGTAGTAACTTCCAGGATGTTGATAGTAGTGAATATCAAGGGGCAATAGTTAAATTCTCTTATGAAGATGATTGATGTTTCATATCTTGACAATTATTCAGATTCTGAACCCATTTTTCCACATGACAATAAAAGTTAAAATTATTGCCATACAGTCCTTTCAGGTTATGCATACAAAGATAAGAGAGATGCATGTCTTAAACATTTGTAATTTTGAAGCATCCATGCTCAAACCCTCTTGCAAATGAAAGCCAATATACTATTAGCCTTCTTAATTGCCTGCTTCACCTGATGGCTTACTTTCCATCAGTGGTGTACAAGTACACTCAGATCTCATCGCATTTCCTACTTCTGCAGTCTATCACCATTCAGATAAGCATCTGTCTTCCTGTTTTTGCTATGAAAGTGGGTAGCCTCACAATTATCCACATTCTGCCGTGCATATTCCCACCCACTCAACTTGACCAAATCACACTGGAGCCTCTCTGTGTCTTCTTCACAGTTCACTATCCCAGCCAGCTTTGTGTCATCTGCAAACTTGGCGATATTACATTTAGTTCCCTCATCCAAATGCTTAGCACGTACTGTGAATAGCTGGGGTTCAAGCTCTGATTCCTGTGGTACACCACTGGTCATTGGCTGCCACTTGGAAAAAGACCCATCTATTCCTATTCTTTGTTTCCTGTCTGCCAAGCAATTCTCTATCCATGTCAGTACACTAGACCCAATTCCATGTGCTTTAATTTTACATTTTAATCTCTTATGTGGTACCTTATCGAAAGCTTTCTGGAAGTCTCAGTAATTATTATCGACTGGCTCTTCCTTATCAACTTTACTAGCTACATCCATGAAAAATTCCAGTAGATTTGTTAAGCATGATTTTTCTTTCATAAATCCACACTGACTATGGCTAATCCAGTCATGTTCTTCCAAGGTGCTATGTTATCGAATCCTTCATAATGGACTGTAGCAAATTCCCCACTACTGATGTTAGGCTAACTAGACTATAGTTCCTTGTCTTCTCTCTACCTCTTTTATAAATAGTGGGGATTCATTGGCTGCCTTTCAATCTATGGGAATTGCCTGGGAAGGTAGATGAAGAAGGAAACATTGCACTCTTTAAAAAGTACTTGAATGAGCTCTTCAAATGTCATAACATTCAAGACTATGGGCCATGTGCTGAAAAGTGAGACTAGTATAATTTTACAGTAGTTTTTGTTGGTGCAGACTTGATGGACTGAAGGGTCTCTTCTGGACTGTATGATTCTGTGCTCCAGAATCTATAGAAACTTGAAAGACTACCTAAACTCTAGAAGGATGAGGGATGGTCACATTGAAATATACTGAAAGATTCTAAAGGGCTTGGCAGGGTAGACTCTGAGTGATTGTTCCCAATGGCAAGGGAATATAAAATATGAGGGCATGGTCTCAGGGTAAAGGGCCGATCATTTTGAAATGAGGAGAAATTTCTTCACCCAGAGGATTATGAATCTTTGCAACTCTCTGCTTCAGAGCACTAAGGAGTCTCCATTATTGAAAACTTTTAAAGTTGAGGTAGGCTCTTGAACTCACATGGAATCAAGGGGTATGAGGGCCATGTTGGAAAGTGAAATTGAAGTCCCAAGATTAGCCATGATCTATTAACGGCAGAGCAGGCTCGACACAGCAAATGTTGTTGCTTTTTTTTGTATTCTGATGTTAAGAGTAGTTTTAATCCCTTGTTTATATGAGATGCCTCTTACGTTTTGGCTATCTTTGCAAGCACTATACTTAAGAGTGTAGAATAAACTGGAAAGAGAGGTGCAGATTTCTTCTAACAAAGAGCCTGTTAGCACCAGGCTCTCCTATCTAATCTATTCCTCCTAGTTTCTCAAGCTTCCTTAAAAATAATTTTGTAGTTAACATTGTTGGGCACTTTATTTAATTGATTCAACATCATTCTTGACATCTAGCACCTACCATATTTGTTGTAAACTAAAGAGTTAAGTATTTTGTTCTGTTTTTATAATAGGCCTGATGGCACAACTTGTGAAGTTTCACATGACCTTGTTGTTGGATGTGATGGTGCCTTTTCCACTACGAGGAAGCAGTTTATGCGACAAGCCAGGTTTGATTACAGCCACGTGTATATCCCTCATGGTTACATGGAGCTTACAATACCTCCTAAAAATGGTGATGTAAGAATTGGCTCAAATAGAAGTATTTACTTTTAAAGTTTCTTTCTAATTGCCTTTCATATCAGATGTTTTATACAGAAATAAACATCAAAATGTTTTCTTCCAGTTTGCAATGGAGCCTAATTTTCTTCACATATGGCCTAGAAACACCTTCATGATGATTGCTTTGCCCAATTTGGTAAGCATTAACAACTTTGCCATACAAACTACATGGCTGAGAAAATCATGTCCTTATACTTCTATTAAATTGTTTTCTTAAATATCAGTCTGGTCATGTTTGGGTTTTGGAGAGCCTGAAGTCTGATCTTTGGGACATTAACCTCAGCTGGTGTTCTCCCAGAATCCAGTTGTTACTTTGATTGGTAGCTGTCCTGCACCCAAGTAGACAGCACAAAGAGCTGATAATGCTGTTTCCCTTTGCATTAAGAGGTACGTGCCACCAAGTTAATATAGAAGATGATCCATAGATGTTTGTGACCATGCATTATGCTGGCTGTTGTTTAGCAACCCGAAATATTCTCCTTCTGCTAGATCAGAAAATGTTAAAACAAACTGAGTCCCTATTTTCTGTCTATTTTGTTAGCAGCAGTAAAGCATTTGAATGGTCTGATATCTGAAAACAATATATCTCCCAAGTGACAGATCGACCAATTTAAAACAACAATCGTGCTCATATCTTTTTTTTTTAATCATTTGTGGGATGTGGGTGTCGCTGACTGGCCAGCATTTCTTGCCTATCCGTAGTTGCCCTTGAGAAGGTGGTGGTGAGCTGCCTCCTTGAACCGCTGCAGTCCTCCTGCTGTGGGTTGACCCGCAATGTTATTAGTAAGGGAATTCCAGGATTTTGACCCAGCGACAGTGAAGGAACGGCAATATATTTCCAAGTCAGGATGGTGAGTGACTTGGAGGGAAACGTGGAGGTGGTGGTGTTCCCATATGTCTGATGCCCATGTCCTTCTGGATGGAAGTGGTCTTGGGCTTGGAAGGAGCTGTCTGAGGATCTTTGGTGAATTTCTGCAGTGCATCTTGTAGATAGTACACATTGCTGCTACTGAGAGTCAGTGGTGAAGGGAGTGGATGCTTGTGGATGCAGTGCCAATCAAGCGGGCTGCTTTGTCCTGGATGGTGTCAAGCTTCTTGATTGTTGTTGGGGATGCAGTCATCCAGGCAAGTGGGGAGTATTCCATCACACTCCTGACTTGTGCCTTGTAGATGGCAGTCAGGCTTTGAGGAGTCAGGAGATGAGTTACTCGCTGCAGTATTCCTAGCTTCTGGCCTGTTCTTGTAGCCACTGTGTTAATGTGGTGAGTCCAGTTGAGTTTCTGATCAATGGTAACCCCCAGGATGTTGATAGTGGGGGATTCAGTGATGGTAGTACCATTGAATGTCAAGAGACGGTGGTTAGATTGTCTCTTATTGGTGGCGGTCATAGCCTGACTTATATCATGACTTATTTATGTTTGCTAGAAGCGACATGTATTGATACTTAGGGGCCTGTTTAGAAGAATGGAATGAATAGAATCCCTACAGTGTGGAAACAGGCCATTTGGCCCAATGAGTCCACACCAACCCTCCAGAGACCATCCCATCGAGACCGATACCCCTACCCTATAACACTGCATTACCCATGGCTAACGCATCTAACCTTACACCCCTGAACCGTGCGGGTAATTCACCTAACCTGCACATCTTTGGAGTGTGGGAGGAAACCGGAGCACCCAGCGGAAACCCACACAGACAAGGGGAGAATGTACAAACTCCACACAGACAGTGTTTTCTTTTTGTTTGAAGAAAATTCGTCCCTGTGCATCAGTATATATTGATGCTGGCAAGTGTAAATGTGCCATGTTATGAACTTGACTGGTTAGCTTAAATGATCGATGTGCCTCGTATGTAGGATTTGTGTAGTTTCACATGCTATGGCATTGGTCTTGATGGCAATGAACTTTATCTTAGACAAAAAACACACTACTAAAAGTGAAGGGCAAATCTTTTACGTAATACATAAAACTCTAAAATCAATGTGAATCTATTTCCTTATGGTTTCTGTAAAAGTTAGACATCCATTCAGATAATATATCTTTTTGTTTTAAAGAATTAAGATTCCTCTGAAATTGGAGGATTGGTATCAAAGACCATTGCTGTCAACCTGACCAAACCCCCTTCTAATATGTCAAGGAGATAGCAAAGATGTTAACTTTTTCTCATATTAAGACAAGTGTAAGGTGCTGTGTTCCACATGTATTTCAAATGGTTTCACTGCTCTGCTTTCTGCAAAATACACTTTATTCTTATTCTACTTAAAATACAAACAAAAGAAAGAAGTCTAACTTTAACTCAATTGGAAAGCTTAACAGAATAGCAGATTATTTAACTAATCAACAGCAACTATTCCAATATAGTAACACCCCACAAACATGCCCTTGGCACGGTGCCCTTGGGCAGCACAGTGGCTCGGTGTTTAGCTCTGTTGCCTCACAGCGCCAGGTCCCGGGTTCGATCTCAGCCTCGGGCGATTGTCTGTGTGGAGTTTGCACATTCTCCCCGTGTCTGCATGGGTTTTCACCGGGTGCTCCGGTTTCCTCCCACAGTCCAAAGATGTGCAGGTTAGGTGGATTGGCTGTGCTAAATTGCCCCATAGTGAGCAGGGATGTGCAGAATAGGTGGATTAGTCATGGGAAATGCAGGCTTACATGGATAGGGTAGGGGGCGCACGTCTGGGTGGGATGCTCTTCAGTGGGTTGGTGCGGTCTCAATAGGCTGAATGGCCTGCTTCCACACCATAGATATTCCATGAAATGCAAATTCAGTAAAATTAATTGTCTCACATGCAATGTTTCTCCAGTCCAGGGGGAACGAACATCAAGAGTAAATTCTGACAAAGAGAGAGAAAGAGACATCTCAAGTATTTTGGTGTAGCAGGGAGAGATGTATGGCAGCTTCAAATCCCAAGACGTACTGCAAGCTAAACTAAAACCTTGGTTCTGTAGAAGCCTGACTCCACCCATTCATGCTGCTTCTATTAGAGTCATACAGTTATACAGGATGGAAACAGCCCCTTGTTCCAACTTGTCTGTGCCGACCAGAAATCTAAACTGATCTAATCCCATTTGCCAGCATTTGGCCCATATCCCTCTAAACCCTTCTTATTCATATATCCATCCAGATGCCTTTTAAAATGTTCTAATTGTACGCGCCTCCACCACTTCCTCGCCCATACATGCACTACCCTCCGTGTGAAAATGTTGCCCCTCAGGTCCCTGTTAAATCTTTCCCCTCCCACCTTAATGCTATTCCCCAGGAAAAAGACCTTGGCTATTCACCCTATCCATGCTCCTTATGATTTTATAAACCTCCATAAGGTCACCCCTCAGCCTCCAACGCTCCAGGGGAAAAAAGCTCCAACCTTTTCCTATAGTTCAAACCCTCCAATCCTGGCAACATCCTGAATTATTTTTGGAACCCTTTCAAGTTTAACAATATCTTTCCCATAGCAGGGAGGCCAGAATTGAATGCAGTATTCCAAAAGTGGTCTAACCAATGTCCCGTACAGCCGCAACATGACCTCCCAACTACTATACTCAATGCACTGACCAATAAAGGCAAGCATACCAAACAACTCCTTCACCACCCTGTCTACCTGACACTTTCAAGGAACTATGAACCTGCACCCCTAGGTCTCTTTGTTCCACCACACTCCCGAGTGCCCTACCATTAACTGTGTAAGTTCAGCCCTGGTTTGCCTTACCAAAATGTAATACCTCACATTTATCTAAATTAAACTCCATTTGCCACTCTTGGCCCATTGGCCCATCTGATCAAGGTCCCATTGTACTGTAACATGACCCTCTTCACTGTCCACTATGTCACATATTTTGTTGCATCTGCAAACTCACTAACCATGCCTCCTATATTCACATCCAAATCATTTGTATAAATGAAGAAAAGCCGTGGACCCAGCACAAATCCTTGCGGCACACCACTAGTCACAGGCCTCTCGTTCAAAAAGCAACCCTTTACCACCATTCTCTGTCTCCTACCTTCAAGCCAATTTTGTATCCAATTGGCTAGCTTCCTTGGATGCCATGTGATTGAACCTTGCTAACCAGTTTACCATGCAGAACCTTGTTAAAATCCATATAAACAATGTCTGTTGTTCTGCCTTCATCAATCTTCTTTGTCACCTCTTTTAAAAAACTCAATCAAGTTAGTGAGACATGATTTCCATGCACAAAGCCATGCTGAATATCCCTAATCCATCCTTGCCTTTCCAAAAGCATGTAAATTCTGTCCCTCAGAATCCCCTCCAACAACTTACTCACCACTGACATCTGGTCACCAGTATATAGTTCCCTGGCCTTCTCCTTACCACCTTTTTTAAATAATGGCACCATATTAGCCACCTTCCAGTCTTCTGGCACCTCACCTGTGGTTGTTGATGACACAAATATCTCAGCAAGGGGTTCAGCAATCTCTCCGTAGCTTCTTGTAAAGTTCTGGGATACATCTGATCGTGTCCCAGGGATTTATCTACCTTTGTGCGTTTTAAGATGTCCAGCATCTCCTCTTCTGTAATATAGACACTTTTCAAGACATCGCTATTTATTTCACCAAGTTCCCAAGCTTCCATGCCCTTCTCCACAGTAAATACGGATGTGAAATATTAGTTTAGTATCTCACCCATGTCTTGTGGTTCCACACATTGTTCCGACTTTAAAAAAAGTCTCCAAGGCCTCACAAGCTGTTTACTTTATTGGCTTGGAACAACCTACTTGGATCTTTTGTCTCAACCTATCTTCATAAAACAAAAGGTCAAAATACGTCTCTTAAAGCCAACGTATTGTCACACCAGTCAACCCATCTAAGTACATTCATCTTAAAAGATTCTTACAGTCCACTCCCTCATGGTAGCATCCACATTTTTCTTTAGGGGATTTTGAAGTTTTCAGGTCTACAACTCTTTTCTGCATGCGCCTGTCTGCAACTCAAGAACTTGGTCACTTTTTCTTAAACATAGATCATAGAATTCAGTCAGAAAGAGGACATTTGGCCCATCAAATGCACACTGACTCTCCGAAGAGCATCTCACTCAAGCCCAGCCCGCTGTCCTACCCCCATACACCCATTTCCCATGGCTAACCCACCAAGCCTACACATCCCTTGACACTTTGGGGTCAT